ACATATGGGTTAATGTTGGACTTGTGGGCTTGGGCAGCACTGGGTTGGGATGTTTTCTTGATGTGCACTTACCCTTTATGAGTTTCTATGGACTTGTTTCTCTGATGTAGCCAGACTAACACACGGGTCCACTGAGGCTGAGAAAGGTAGACTATTTTAGCATGAGGGCAATGAGATGTGACCTTCCTCCAAAAGGGTCTCAGGGGTTCTGAGAGTCACCTCGGAGCATTTCTCTTCTGTCTCGGCTTACTTAACCTCCTTCACAAAACAAAATTAGGGTTATCCTGTGATCAGTTGATCCCCACATACATCTGACCTAGTGATTCTGAAAGGCACAGCCACACCGCGATGCACACCAAGAAAGGAAATGACCATCGGTGGCCTTGCTTTACCCTAATTCTCACGATGGTACCGACGGGAAGGTAAGTCCTCATTGAGGCTCCAGCCTTGAGCTTGTCATTCAGTTTACCTTTTCTCCTTGCTGGGGTGCAAGGCTTCACAGGCCAACATTCTTCTTACTTCCTTAAATCTAGAAGGGTAGCCTCAAAATTTCCATGTGTAGGAACATTGTGTATATTTTTCCCACAACTAAAAGGATAAGAATTACTAATACAATGAGTACAAGAAGGAAATATTCTAAAATGGATTGTGATAATGATTGTTCCATCTTCTTGATATGATTGAACTATTGAATTTTAAGATATGTGGAAGAAATGCCAACAAAACTGTTAAAAAAATTCTTCCCAAGTGTATATTCAATAACCAATAATTCCATTTCCTTAAGAATGCTGTTTTAACTTGTTGAGGGGTGTGTGTGTGAACTTTTGTGTGTGTCAAGATTCAAGTGGTTTTTTTAATAATTCAAATGTACATGCTTTGAATAACAACAGTAATAGAAGAATTTAAAAGTCACTCTCTAATCAGTGAGTATCCTGTTTATAATGGCCATGAATGGAGACCAGCTGCCTTCATTCAGTGTAATATACCCCTACAACTCCCATCAAAATCTGAAACACAAGAGATTTGCTTGCTATACAACGTATGTGCTTCCCTGGTTTCTGTGGCCATGACTGAACTGTTTGGAACCAATTGGAAGTCCTGATGAGCATATCATTCTTCCATTGTTGAAGGTTTCACCGACCTCTAGATTTGGGTTCCTATTAGGGGCCAAGGGAGGTATAGACAAGAAAGGAGAGTGGGGAAGTGGGGGTCTGCATATTTCCTCTCCCCTCTTAGGCTAGGGGGTGCTACTGGATTCTTCTAATTGCGAGTCCCTGGGGAACTCCCCAGAAACAGATGGCTCAGTGGTTAAAGTGCTCACGTGCTACGTAAAAAGTCAGTGGTTCAAATCCAACCGCTCTGTGGCAGTCTAGCCCTGTAAAGATGGACAGCCTAGGAAACTGAGGGAGCCCTGTTCTGTTTTCAGGGCTACTATGAATAGGCTTTAACTTGATGCTAAGGAGTTGTTAAGATTTTAGGTCGAGGGTTGTGTTTTAGATTAAGGTTTTGTGTCAACTTGGATGGGCTAGATTTCTGAGTGGTTTGGGAGTTAAAATCCAATAATGCCTCTGATGAGATCTCTTCCAGAGCATGGCTGACTTCCAACATAAGTGGATGTGACGGGAAAGCTTCTTTGCTTTTGGGCCTGGCTTACTGATCTCATTCTTTGGCCTTGAGCCAATGACCTACCAGACTGCCTGCCGTCTGGTTCATTCACCTCTGCAGCCAGAATCCTTCTGTCTTGCCTGTTGACCCTGGGAGTTCTCAGCAGCCTGCCTACCTTGGTCATTTGCCTCTGCAGCTGGAAGCCTGTCCCCCAGACCTGCTGATCTTGGTTTCATCAGTGAGGTACTTAGTTTATTGTGCCACACTGGCCGATAAACCCATGTGGGATTAATTGAAGGGCGGAGGGATAAATGGATTGGTGAGCTTCGCCTTTCGAGTTCTCGGGGCTCTTGTTTTGTGAAGGTCGTACCAGGGTGCAGCTGCCTTAGCAGTTCTCTGCTTCAGCTTGCAAGGCTGACTTCCTGCAAGACATCCGAGAAGGAGTCGCATGGACCTACCCTGATGCAGCCCTGGGTGCTGGAGCAGCCGTGTGGAGAACCCTGCCAGCACTGAGATGTTTACGTATTCACTGACTTGGCTTTCCTCCTGCAGTCGGCATCATTGCCTGTTTTGTGAGATGGAGGAGGACTTTGTGGATTGGTGTTGGACATATGGGTTAATGTGTTGGACTTGTGGGCTTGAGCAGCACTGGGTTGGGATATCTTCTTCATGCGCACTTAACCTTTACATAAAACTCTCTTATACATGAGTTTCTGTGGATTTGTTTCTCTAAAGTACCCAGACTAATACAATCAGGCCCTGCAGCTACACAAGTCATCTGGACTAGTTCCAGACTAGGAACTCATCCTCCTCTACACCTGTGTGAGCCACTTCCTTTTAAGCAACCTCTCTCTACATATACTAATATCAGCTTCATCAGTTTTACTTCTCCGAACCTAAGACAGGGGTGCTTCTTCATCCTTTGATGGTGCCGTTAGCCCTGTCCACACATCTGTAAATGGCCTGCTTATTAAAGCCTCTTCAGTTAAATTCTTAAGGTGTTATCCTGTCATGACACTGGCACAATAATTTATTTTAAACAGAGCTGAAGCAAATTTCCAAGTTTATTAATATAGGTTACACAAGAAATTTCAAAGAAATGATATAAAAACAGTGACATATATTTTATAAGTACAGAGTAAAGGGACAGTAATAAAGATCATATTGTTTTAATATATATATACAAACAGAATCAACAATAACAATGAAATTCCATTGATTTTGATAAAATGAAGATAGTAACTAAATTAATAAAAATTAATGCTAATTTCTACTTACAAAATGTTCAGTTATATTACTTTGATGTAAATTATTCTATGGTACTTAGAAATAGTTTGCTCTTTTAAATAGGTACACATTTGCCTGGCAAGTTTCCATTCTTTTGTTTAACAAATGCCTCCATTTTTCCCCATAAGAAAAACTGTACATTGCACCTAAATTTCAAGTTATTTTTCCAAACGAATAAGAATTTTTATTTACTTGATACCCACCATGGGTTTATAAATGTTGTTAAAAATCACCACGGGGAGACATCAGTCAGTGTAAGACATGAAAAAATAATAATCTATACATTATCAAGGGTTCGTGAGGGAGGAAGGATGGGGGAGGGAGGGGAAAAATGAGGAGCTGATACCAAGGGCTCAAATAGAAAGCAAATGTTTTGAAAACGATGATGGCAACAAATGTACAAATGTGCTTGACACAATGGATGGATGTGTAAATTGTGATAAGAGCTATATGAGCCCCCAATAAAATGATTTTTAAAAAATCACCACGTAAGATTTTTTTTCTTTTCCCAATTAAGAAAAACTAAAATGAAAATATTGAGGAATTTTGCTCGGTTTGAAAGTCCATTAACACTTCAAAAACTGATGTGAGTAATTTAGGGAAAAACCTTCGTCTAACCAATGCAGACTGGAGGGATGATTTAATACGCAGACTCCCTGGGTTGCACTGGGTTTCCTTCTCAAGATGCGGCCACAGGAAGGAGTAGCCCAGGAGTTCCTTCACTCAACCAGCAGACCTTGTTTGCGTGATACACGGTTGGTGGCACTGGCTAGAAGTGATTCTTTCTATGAGAACATACTTATCACACATATCTCATACGCTCCTGTAACTATGTGTCAGTCTGTGTTGCTTTCCATTTTGTTCTGTTTGGAGGCTGTATGTCCGAGTCTCATTCAACTTGCTACCCCAGCACGGTCATCGTGCCCATAGCAAGCACATTGTGGCCACTCCTCTGGCCCCAGGGCAGTGTTCTCCTGTGAGAGCTGGCCTTTGCAGGGTAAGTACTGGAAATGAAGGCTCTTTTTATTTTTAAAAAGGGTAGAGAAAGCCTTTTATATTCACCACCTCCTAGGACAGCATTTCCTGCTTTGCCAAGTTCTAATAAGCATGATGAGTTCACATGAGGATGGGGCAAATGTGGTGGCCCCCAGCTCTCAGTGACCTGGGATGCTCAGCGCAAACTGCCGGCAGCTCTGGCTGGTGGGTTTCTGACTGGGGCCTGGCTGTGTCTGCTGCCGGCACTTGAAGACCTGCAGCCTCAGGTTGAGCAGGGGGAGCAGCCGCACCCCCTGCGACTCCCCAAAAGCTGAGCTGAGGTTCCTAGTGGACGCAGCCTCCTTTCTGTGGAGGGGCATGCCCAAAGGAGGGGTTTTCGCCTGTTAAAATGTTTTAAAGATTTATGACGGCGATTATGTTTAATAGGACATTTTTGTACACAAGAAATGTACTAAGTCTTATCCCTTTAATAATTTAAACACTGCTATTGAACAATTTCAATATATTTGCAAAAGCTGACGTCCAAACCCTGAAATCTGTCACTACTGATGGGCATTTCAGGTGTTTGGGATGAAACCTTAGCAGCCTAGCTTCTGCATATTAAATCAGAAGTTATCCCTATAATCTCTGGTGGGGGGGTCTTCAAAGTACCCTTTTAATACTGTCTTGCAAATATATATATGCATATATGTATATCAACTAAATATATCAGAAGGTAGCATTCAGTGTGTACTGTATACTGGCCATATGCCGTTCTGAATAACACTGTCTTTATTCCTGTTCTCCCTCCCAGTAACAAGCCAACATAGATGCTCAGCGGCTCTCATAAGGAGGAGGCATGCAAGTAATACACTGGCTGTTTCAGATGGTGCAGGCAGCACTTTCTCTTAAGCAGAGACCGCTGGAAAGAATCCCCAGGCTATCTACCCCTTCCTTTCCCTTTGTAGCCCAGGGCAGTCCCCTTTCCTAAATGAGCAGCTTTTTGTAGAGACTGTTATTCAAGTTAGTCGAGCCCGTGTCCACTTTACTTGCCATTAGCTGGCCGCTGCTGTTGTAACTGGTGGGGTCGGCACTTTCTTTGCAGCACAGGAGGCCGCAGAGGTACCGCTGGCAGTCGGAGGACGCGTAGTAGTAAATCATGGGGTCGATGCAACAGCTGACGCTGCTGACGCAGACACAGAGCAGGTAGGTGAAGTAGGCAGCCTCCATGGACACGCTGGAAGACAGGAGGGAGTAGTGCACTATCAGGAGGACGTTCGTGGGTCCAAAGCACAGGATGAAGATGCAGAAGACGGCAGCCGACAGGAACAAGGCCCGCGTCTTCTTGCTGTGGTTGGCGACGGTGGAGGAGCTCAGGCACCGGATGATGCACGTGTAACAGACGGTGGAGACGGCCAGCGGCACGAAGAAGAAGACGGCCGAGAAGGCGGTGAAGTAGGACGCGTAGAAGCTGTCCTGCGCCGTTTGGTCGAGCACGTCGTGGCACGTGGTGATGTTGAGGCCGGGGACCTGCGTGGTCTGTTCTTTGAGGACCAGCGGCACCACTCCGCCGATGGCCACCGCCCAGATGGCCAGACAGGCGAAGGACGCCCTCCCCAGCGTGCGCCAGGAGAGGGACTGCATGGGGTACACCACGGCCAGGAAGCGGTCAATGCTGATGGCCGTCATGAGCATGATGGAGGCGTACATGTTGCAGTAAAACGCCGCCGTGACCAAGCGGCACATCTCCGACCCGAATTTCCAGTCGCTTCCGGAGAAGTAATAGCTGATCTTAAAGGGGAGCGCGGCCACAAACAGCACGTCCGCCGTGGCCAGGTGCAGCATGTACACCATCGCCGGCTTCCTGACCTTCATCTTCCCGAGGAACACCGCGATGGCCAGGACGTTCAGAGGAAGGCTCATGATAAACACGCCGGTGTACACAGACGGGATGAAGAGGGTCAGCCAGGGGCTGGTCAGGTAACCCAGGGCTTGGGCCGAGACGAAGCTTTGGGGAGGCTTGGGCAGGTGGCTTCTGTTGGTGAGCCTGCTTTCCGTTGAATTACTTCCATTTTCCTCCTTAAAATCCTCGTGTGAGAAGGGTTCAAAAACATCCGCGGGGTTCCGGAAGACAAATGTCCGGGGCCTCAGGGAATCGTTTCCTGGTTTTGATTCTGAAAGGAAAAATGTAAAAATGACTGAATCGAACAGGCACTAGAGAGGAGTAGAAAATACGTCTAATGCTTGCTTATTATTATTTGTTTCTTCCTGGGGCGTGGGTGGTCCAGAACAGGATGCATTCGAGAATTTGCTAACAAAAACATTGCCCATTTTCTTGGTGCGTTGGTTTGACACTAGCCCGTGTGTCACAAAGGAATTGAAGTCAGTTTCACTTTTATTTGGCCCCTTTTATGACAACTCAGACCAGCTTCAGGTCTGTCGGGTCAGGGATCTGGAAGGTTCTCAACGCTGTGACCCGTCTCTCTTATCGTCAATGTACATTTTATTTGTTATTATTCTCCACCCCACCCCCCTTTATGGAATATAATACATACAATGAAAAGCATACTATATGTACTCACACATCCAAACAACTCATCCAAATAGTGATAGTATCCCACAATATCCTGTGTTAGTCCGGGTAGACTAGAGAAACAAATCCAGGGAGACTCCTATGTGAATAAGAAAGAGCTTTATATCAAAGAGTAATTGTCTATTAAGCAAACATCCCAGCCCGGTCCAGATCAAGTCCTTAAGTTCGATATTAGCCCCTATGTCCAATAATAGCCCATATAGTCTTCACAGCACATACAATGATGTTGAATGCAGGAAGATCACAGGCCAGTGGGTGGAAAGTCTTGTGGATCCAGTGGCAGCGGAAGCATCTCAGCGCTGGCAGGAGTCTCCACGTGGCTCCTTCAGCTCCAGGGCTCTAGCGGAGCTCCATGTGTCTTGTCAACAGGAATGTCTTGCAGGGAGTGTCTGTGTGTCCTGCCTCCAGCAAACTATTTATCTCCTTAGCACCTCCAAATGAGGTCATGAAGCTGCGGTCTAATTGACAAGCTAAACTCCACCCCTTCACTCTTAAATCTCAAGTTGGCAACAGCTTATGTAACTACCACGACACCTGTACATGGATCTTTTTCTTTCTTTCCCTAGCCTTAGCCTTAGCCCTCCTTTTTCTTCTTTTCTTTTCCCAACCACCTGCCCTCCTTACCCCTCTGTCCCTTCCCTCTCCCCCTCAGCTCTGGCCTCACCATTGTCTTTTCCTTTGGCGTGAAAACCATTTTTTACCTTTATAATCATGGTGTCCTGAAATATTTATATTTATGAGGTTGACTAACTTTGCTGCATATAATATCCTCCCATTTTGTCAATGTCCTGAGGTGTTTGGTGAGGCCTGTCATTGTTTTTTAAGGATGCACACAATCCTCTGCAGGCAGCGTTTTTGATTATTTCCATTGTTTTGCTATGTAGAAATTGCTGTGATAAACACAGGCATGCATATGCTGTGTTTTGTTTTTCAGAGAGATTGCAGGATCATACGCACATTGTTATGGCACAAGCAAATGCCTTTCACACTCTGTTCCTCGGAGGATGGAGAACAACGCTAGACTTTTCGAGGTGACCTGAATACACCAGGAAAGATTGAAGCCCTTGTCATGAGGGAGGGAAAAGCAAATCACAGTGATTTATTTTTTTTTAAATAAAGCTAAGAGTTTTATTGACAGAGTAAAGCGATCTGGATCAGGCAGCACCTAGTGAAAATTCACCCAGGTGCTCCAACATTGCAAGGAAGAGGCAAACGTGTTTACGGAGGTACAGGGAAAGGGGTGTGTGACTAAAATCACGGGGCTTAGGGTTGCACAGAACATGCAATGTTGTTGTTGTTAGTTGTCCTCCCGTCGGTGCTGACGCACAACAACCCTATGAACAGAACAAAATGATGCCCGGTCCTGTACCACCCTCCAAATTGTTATTTTCAGCCCAATGCTGTAGCCACTGTGTCCATCCATCACATTGAGGGTATTCCTCTTTTTTTCTGCCCCTCTATTTTACCAAGCATGATGTCCTTTTACAGGGACTGGCCTCTCCTGATAACATGTTCCAAGTACGTGAGTCAAAGTCCCCCCCATCCCCTCTTCTAAGGCAGCATTCTGGCTATACTCCTTCCACGACAGGTTTGTTAGTACTTTCAATATTCTTCACCAGCAACTGACATGCACCCATTCTCCTGAAGTCTTCCGTATTCACTGCCCAACGTGCACATGCATATGAGATCACTGAAAAGATCATGACTGGAGTCACGGGCACCTTAGTCCTCAGTGACCCCCTTGCTTTTCAACATTTTAAATGAGGCTCACTGTAGAAGTTAAAGTTTCACAAGGTTGTTGTCAGGCGCCATCGAGAGGATTCTGGTCATAGCAACCCTGTGCACAATAGAATGGACCACTGTCTCTGGTCCCGTGCCATCCGCACAGTTGTTCCTAAGCCTGAGCCACTGCTGCGGCCACTGTGTCCATCGTCTCCTTGAGGGGCTTTCTCTTCTTTGCTGCTGCCCCACTTTACTAAGTAGGATGTCCTTCTCCAGGGACTGGCTTCTCCTGACAACCCGTTTAAAGTACGTAAGACGAAGGTGCCCCATCCCTAATTCTAAGGGGCATTCTGGTTCTTCATCTTCCAAGACGAATTTGTTTGTTCTTTTAGCAGTCCACAGTACCTTCAATATTCTTCACCAGCACTGCAATTCAAATTAATAAATTCTTCTTTGGTCTTGCTTATTCAATGTCCATCTTTCACAAGTGCATATGAGGCAACTGAAAAGACCATGGCTTGGGGCAGGTGTACCCTAGTCCTCAATGTAACCTCCTTGCTTTTCAACCCTTTAAAGGTCTTGTGCAGCAGACTTTCCTAATGCAATGCACCCTCTATCTGAGCGGTTCTCAACCTACGGAACATGACCCCTTTGGGGGTCGAACCACCCTTTCACAGGGGTCACCTAATTCATAACAGTAGCAAAATGACAGTCATGAAGCAGCAGTAAAAATCATTTTATGGTTGGGGGGTCACCACAACATGAGGAACTCTATTAAAGGGTCGTGGCATCGTAAGGTTGAGAACCACTGCTTTATCTTTTGACTGCTGCTCACATGAGCATCGATTGTGGATAACAGCAAAATGAAATCCTTGAAAACGTCTACCTTTTCTGTTCACCCTGATGTCAACTATTGGTCCAATTGGGAGGATGTTGCCTTTCTTTAAATGTAGCTGTAATCCATACTGAAGGTGCTGTAATCCTTGCTCTTCATTAACAAATGCTTCAAGTCGTCCTTACATTCAGCATTCAAAGTTGTGCCATCTGTAAATCATGGGTTGCTAATAAGCCTTCCTCCAATTCTGATGCAGCATTTTTCTTCACATAATCCAACGTTACAATTTATTTTTTAGCCTTGATTTCTCAAGGCCAACTTGCAAGCTACATATATACACTCTTCCTGAGGCCTGCTGTACAAAGCTTTTTTTGAGGCCATCTTAATCTTGATAGACATTTACTGACATCCTTTTTTCCCCACAAATCATATTCTTGTCCCCTCTTATGGTTTCTTTTTTATACTAACCACCATCTATAATAAACAAAACATTTTCATTAAAAAAACAATCATTTTACTGGGGAGCTCGTACAATTTCATCACAATCCTTACATAGATCCCTTATGTCAAGCACATTTATACATTTGTTGCCATCATCATTTTCAAAACATTTTCTTTCTACTTGAGCCCTTGGTATCAGCTCCTCATTTCCCCCCTCCCTCTCCCACCCTCGCTCCCTCACAAACCCTTGATAATTTATATGCATTTTTTTCATGTCTTACACTGTCCAATGTCTCCCTTCACCCAAGTTCCTGTTGTCCGTCCCCCAGGGAGGGGGTTATATGTAGATCATTGCAATCGGTTCCTCCTTTCTACCCCACCTTCCCCTTCTCCTCCTGGTATCACTACTCTCACCACTGGTCCTGAGGGGTTAATCTGTCCTGGATTCCCTGTGTTTCCAACTCCTATCTGTACCAATGTACATCCTCTGGTCTAGCCGGATTTGTAAGGTAGAATTGGGATCATGATAGTGGGGAGGGCGGAGCATTAAAGAATTACAAGAAAGTTGTATGTTTCATCATTGCTACACTGCACCCTGACTGGCTCATCTCCTCCCCGTGACCCTTCTGTAAGGGGATGTCCAGTTGCCTACAGATGGGCTTTGGGCCTCCACTCTGCACTCCCCCTCATTCACACGATGATTTTTTGTTTGGGGTCTTTGATGAATGTGAGCAAAACAGGAGTGGGAGTAAAACAGTGTTGCTACTAGTGCTCCAGTTACACATGTGTGGGATTATTACAAACAAAACACATCTGTACAATTTGTAGATGGCTGCAGGTAAATTCTCTTAGTAATATACTTCTTAGTCTTGTTAGAGTCCACTTAAAAAAAGAGGTTCAATCACATCAGTGGCTTCTGCATTTATCTGCTAAAACCCACTGCTATCAAGTTGATTCCAACTCAGAGTGGCTATATACAAAGTTTCTGAAGCTTGGCAAATCTTTTTAAGAGCAGACAGCCTCATCTCTCTCTTGAAGAGCAGCTGGTGGGTTTGAACCATTGCTCTTGTGGTTAGAAGTCCAATGTTTATCCCACAAGGTATCGGCCAAGCCAGTTCAGTTCAAGCCAAAGAGTTCAGCTCAGAAGGCTATGGAAACTGTTTTTTGGAGATAACAAGGGGTCTTGATAGATTTTCTCAAAGGGAACAGGATGATTATGGAGGCTTATTATTTAGAAGTCTTAAGAAAATGAAAAACTGCATTGATGAGGAAAAGGCCAGGAACATTGTACTGAGGAATTTTTGAATCATGACAATGAATCTGCTCATTTGGCAAAGGTATCAAGGATTGCAAAGAGAGTATCATCGGAAAAGGTTACCTCACCCACCCTGTGGCTGATCTTGACCCTTCAAACTCTGTTTGTTCTCTACACTCAAAGAACATGACTCAAGGCCCTCAAGCATGCCAAACACAGCTGTAAACTGGAGAGTACTGAATTCTTGGGGGAAGGGCTAGAAAGGGGACACACTTTCTTCAGAAGTGTACAGATTTGGAGGTTATGTTGAGAAACAATAGCTTCACAT